ATTATAAAATCGGTTTTTTTCATGATTTTAATTATTATGGGTAGATTTATTCATAAAAATTATCTTTATGAAAAATAAATCATATTGTAGGGAAACATATATTCATTAAGATAAATGAATGCATTCCTAGATATATCTGTCCGTTTTTCTATGATAGTGGCCAGAGATACATCATTAATAGAGGAAAAAACACGCGCCTGCAAAAAAAAAAATAAGTGTTTTAAAATAGCACTCAAAATATTAAAATGTATGGGGATATGTAGATCAGTTCGCATATATCTTGATTAACATCTTACAAAAAAGTACTAATACTAAAAGGTTTTTTAATTTTAAGCGGTTTTCGCATGCATTTATTCTAAAATTGAAATAATATAGTAAGTTCTAGGAGCAAATCCGTGGATCAAGTCGTACATTCGATAATTCAAAAGTTTTCACAGGTTCGATTTAACCGGCTTCATCAGTGACAATTCAAATAGTAGTTTTTAATATGACTTTATAAACTAAATCCATCGAATCGGTGCTCTCCATTGTTTATGTAAAAAAAAAAATATATATCAAACTGACGGTTTTAAACAGGCAAATACTGGGCCACCAAAATGCTGGAGTAAACTGATCTTATATGATAAAACATAGATGATAGAAGTTTTTTGATAGAACTGTTCACACACAATACCAATTATTTCTAAAGCAAAATAAATGTGATTTTACAATTTTTTTAGATTTTGCGGTAACAGTTCGAGGATTGTTTATTGTTAATTTTTAAAATTTAAATAAATAGATGCAATAAATGAGTCTATAGTAAAGTTCTCTGTTCACGAAGTCATTATTTAAAATCATATGACCAATGCACAACGCAACGATGATCGATTTTCGATAAGGATAAGACCCACGGCCACCATTGCTGTGTGTAGATGGAGGCTATTCGTTTGCCAAAATAATCCAGCCTCTGAAACTTGACAATGTATACTTCGGTTCTACTAAACAGATTAAGACAAAAATCTAATTGTTGATGCGAGAGTTACATACTGCACTGGTCATTAAGCATTTTGATTATCTTCGATTTGATAAAATGAAAGCTGTAAACATGCAACTTAGATAACTTGCAAACTGTCATTTATAAAAATGTATAACTTCAAATTTGCGACATGTGAAATTTAAACGGACTAACTACACAAACCGTTTTTAATGCCTGTGCATCATGAACGTTGAGAATGTAAACTGCAATCAACTTGAAAACACTCAGGTTTACAACACCTAACACTTTCTTTTAACATTCTAAACCCGATTAACACTTGTAAACGATTTTGCAACTTCCATATATGGAATTATCACGGAAATAGACCTGGAACATTCAAATATACAATTGGTCCCGGTGGCCCTATATCATTTCTTGAATCAATCGTGGTGCTTAGCATTTTCAAATATGCATAACGAATCAACGAAATAACATGACGAGGGTACCACCGCAAAAAGAAATAATAATTAACCTTCCTTTCTTGTTGATCTTGTTTATCATATTTTTACAGAAAAAGTTTATAGAAATTATCGATGGGAATATATTGTTTTTGCTTTAAATGCAAATGATGAGTACACTTTAAGGGGCAATAACTTTTCCATTTTCGCTTCAACTAGAACATTTCCTTATTAACTTGAGGTTTCATCTATTAAATAGTATCCTAAACAAATGATAATTTCGCGCAGGATTGAATTCCGCATAATTTTGATGATGGGCGACTTATTTTTTTACACACTCCTGCCTATCTAGGTAAACATAGTACCATCAGAATAAAATTGAAAATTAAAAACATTCCACAGACCATTTTTTTTTAAAACTACTTTCTGAAAAATGAAATCGTCCTGTTTTGCTCGGAGGTGATCTGGTTGCGTTTAACGGAATCTTTTAAAAACAGCAAGGTTATAAGGGTGCCCTCTATAACATTTGTACGCAATGCATCTCATATCATTTCTTTGTGAGGATTGTAAGGTCCTTTCTTAGCAGTCCTTTATCATGCAGACTGCATTATACTGGAAGAAACCGGAAAACTAGAAATGTAATTTGTCACACATAAATTTATACATAATGATTGTGTTTAAAAGTTTAGATAAAGTTAACAAGTAAAGTCCTGTTACTTTTATGTAAAATGCCATGGCAAATTTTTGCCATGGATATGTCATGGCAAATTTTTTTGCTATGGAATTGTCATGGCCATTGTGCCATGGAAGAAATTTGCCATGGCATTTTCCATGGCAAATGAAAAAAATTGAGATTGCAAATAAAAAAATTACAATAATATAAATTTGCCAATGGCAAAATAGAGGAAAAATCTTGCCATGTTTTTGCCATGGCCAAAATCCCGAAATGCCATGGCAAAACACACTTTGCCATGGCAAATGCAAACTTTAAATGCTTTTTTTACAAAAAAGTATTAAAAGATAGAAAAACAAAACATATTAACTTTTAAACCTTTTAGTAAATATGACAATTAAAGATAGTTTTCATTTTTTTAAAGTGCGTAAAAATAGGGGTCGAATTTGCCAAAAAACCGGCGCGCCAAAAAGAAACCTGCAGCTATTCTTAACACTATTATAACGGTAAATATGCCGTTTTTGTTTTATTTAATATCATATTTTTAATTTGTAACCTTCGATTTGAAATTTTCTGCTCTGAATTGAGAAAATAATTAACAACTATTTTTTTAGGAAATCTTGACCTAATATCCACTATAAAAAATAATAAATAAATAAATAAAAAATCCCTGAAATGGAATACGTTAAACATAAGTAAATGGTTTAGGTACAGATAAGGTAACTTGCATAAAATGTAAACTGAAGTTTACAAGTAATTAATATCTACCACATTTTTAAATAAATCTCATTTTAATAGAAATTTGTTATTTTATTGTTTTATATTCAAGAAAAAATTAGACGCTCTACCCGAAAGAGGAAAACATCTGGCAGACTAGAGGACCATGATGACCGACACAAACAGAAAAGGCGGCCAACGCAAAGCTCTTCCACAAGACCTAAGGCCCCTTCACCACCGCCAATGGCACCCATAACGCAAAGTAGGACGCCTTCTGTTCACCACATTTGTTCACCACCACTACTACCGCCAAGGGATCCTACAGCACCTCCTATGGCACCCATACAACCACCATCTGACATGGGGCATCAGTGTTTGTCAATCGAACAAGGTAATGTACAACCTATTCTAAGTTTCAAATCTATGCTAGGGCAGTTTGTTTCCCAAATATAAAAGAAAAGATTATACAGAGGCAATATATAGATATGACCACATTGTTGCGTAGTTATATAATAGCGCCATTCCACAAGACGAAAAATGGGCGAAACCTGTCAGAAACGGAGCTGGCCAATTGGTAATGGCCCCATTAAATACCAAGAAAATCAATACTATAGAAGAATGGTCAGAGGTATTAAAAGTATTTGCAAGCATATATCTAAGCGCTAACCCCACAGAAACTCAGGCAATTCTGAAGAATATGTCAATATAATAGACAGCAGCTACGCGTCATTAAGGTTCAGGGTGGCAGAGTGATGACTCTCAATTTCGTTTAAGGCATGGGTCATATTCGAATATGTCATTCGGGGTTATATATGAAGAGCTATGGATTGTGTGTATGGGTCTGACTGCAATAGCTATTACAGTGGTGGAAAAAAATGCTATGATTTCAATTATTGTTTGCCTTTGCACAAGAATGGTTTGCATTTACCGTCACGTCTGTTTAAATTGAAGTGGAAATCATATAGTAAGATCATGCAGGAGGCAGGCATACACAAACATGGGTTACAACGACTCATGCGACCTAGAGCCGCTTTCATGCCACAACAGCAGTGCAACGCTGACCAATCAGGCAACCATTAAGGCCCTGCGTTCCCTCTAATACACCAAGATTCTAAATGCAATTGTGATGCTAAAATTTCAACATGTTTACATCTAAGTTCCTCACCAGGAACATTCCAAATACTAGGAAAATGCTCGCAGCATTATAAATTGTAAAGATGCCAAAAGTTCAGCTAATTGGTTTAAACAAGGTTTCAAAATTGAATACAATGGACCAAGAGTTGCATTTGAATGTCTAAATCTTCAATCTGCTAATGAACATAAAATACAACTGAAGGAAACAAAATAATAGAGATTTACCACTAGGTAGGATTGCTGGGCCATTTGAGAAAAAAACCCATATGATAATCTAAGGATCTCTCCAGTAGGAATTTTGTCGAAGTCCGATGGGGGTTGGAGAATAGTCACTCATTTATCATACCCTCATGGATTAAGTATTCATGATAGCATTAACAATCTTTATCGTTCGTTAAAATCGTTTGATAATGAAACTGCAATGATTTACGATTTGGATCAGTCAGCGTTAATTGCAAATCGCGACCTAAAATCAGCATATAGCAATATCAGCAAATTTCCCTTTTTTCTTAACTACCTTGTAACCAAGATGGCAAAAGCAAGCTCAATAGATCACATCCTGATTGACATTATAATGACTGGCAGTCAAGGCACTCATACATGCCAGTATTAAGTAAAAGCAGGTTTGTTCGAAACTAGGCATCCGTATAACTCGTGAAAAGTCTGTAAATCCAACTACAGTAATGGTGTTCTTATGTTTACAAATTGATACGTCCAAATTAGTGGTCCGGATACCAGGTCATAAAATTCGAGAATTGTCCCAATTAATATCAATTATAGTTAATAGGAGCAACTTATCGTAACGGGAATTACAAAAATTAGTGGGAAAATTAATTGTTTTCGGACAAGCAGGTTGGTCCAGTCGAGCATTTCTACTTCGATGGTTTTATGATGCAATGATTCCTTTAAGGAAACCTAGCTATATGCTTAGAATTTCACGAGAAATAAGGGAGGACCTGATGGTTTGGCTGACATTTTTAAAGGATTTTTATGGGGATAACCTACATACCAGAAAACAAATGGTTTAGTAGTGATGATCTGCAGCTATTTACAGATGCTGCAGGGTCAAATATGTTAGGGGCAGGTTGTTTTTTGGAAAGGGAATAGTGTTTCCTTGCATGGCCAAGGCTACGGAAAGGTCATTCAGATATGAAAGATATTACATTCCTGGAAACGGTACCAGTAATATCAGCCATCCATATATGGGGAAACAAGTTAAGAAATAAACTAGAAATGTGTCCATAGGACACGGGTGCCCCTACACTCCACTGCTATGGTTATACATTCGCATGCTGCTTTTGTATATTTTACTTAATACTTTATTTTTATCTTATCTCATTAAATACTTGTTACAATCGATTTTAATATATCGTTTACTTAATATAAACCACCAGCGTTTATGCGAGAGCAGAAGTTAATTGGTATCATTCCCGTATGTAGTTTTGCTTCGCACTGCTCTTGATTCATAAGAACAGTATTATTATATAAACGTTAGGGGGTTATTTAATAAACATTACACCTGTTTGTTAGGGGGAAAGGGAATGCGTAGGTAATGAATAAATCCTTTATTGGAAATTGAATATAGTGTATATAGTATATAAGACTTGTTCCTTTAGACATCGGTGTCAAAATTAAACAAGGGATATTTTCACGATCACCATTCTTTCAAAATTGTCCAGCAACAGAAGAGGCAAGTTAAATTTTCAGTCGCATAAAAAACAAACAATAAGGTTCAAGTAATAACTATTATGCATTTAAAGTTGCATAATTTTGGATTTGATAGAATTAAATTTACCTAGAGTAGAAATTAAGCACTGAGCGGCTTAATAAAAAAATATTTGGGCAGCTTAACACTCAACGTGGGTCTCCACGTGGTTCGTCTGGTCAATATTAAATAGAGATAGTTACATACATTTACAAAAGAGAAGGCATTAAAGTAGCGAATGCTTTTTGAATATGAACATACAACACATAGATTGATCCTAAAAGCTGAAATTTTAAGGTTTTTTGATCTGTTACAAATCTTAGCAAGGGAAAAAACTCTGTAAGCCTTCTTGGGACTTAATACATGACTGAATTTTGCAGTGAAAAAATGAATGCAAACGACCCTTGTTTAAGATAAGTTTTCGAACACCTATGCACTATAACGGTGAGATGCCCTTATTTGTTTTATTTAATATCATATTTTTAATTTGTGACCTTCGATTTGGAATTTTCTTCTCTGAATTGGGAAAATAATTAACAATTATTAATAGGAAATATGACCCAATATCCACTTTAAAAATAATAAATAAATAAAGAAATCCCTGATATGGAACACGTTCAACATTAGTAAATGGTTTAGGAACAGATAAGGTAACTGGCATTTAATTTAAACTGAAGTTAACAAGTAATTCTTATCTATCACAGTTTTAAATAAATCCCATTTCAAAAGAAATTTGATATTTAACGGTTTCATATTCAAGAGAAAATAAGACGCTCTACCCGAAAGAGGAAAACACCTGGCAGGTTAGAGGACCATAATGACCGACACAAACAGAAAAGGCGACCAACGCAAAGGTCTTTCACAAGGCCAAGGACCCCTTCATCACCACCAATGGCACCCATAAGGCCAAGTAGGACGCCTTCTGTGGCCACAAAACCGCCTATGCCACCTACACCCCCTTGTTCACCACCACAACTACCGCCTAGGGATCCTACGCCACCTCCAATGGCACCCATACAACCACCAGCTGACATAAGGCAAGAGTGGTTGTCAAAGGAACAAGGTAATGTACAACATATTCTAAGTGTCAAATCTATGCTAGGGGAGTTTGGTTCCCAAAATATAAAAGAAAAAATCATACAGAGGCAATATCTAGATATGACCAAATTGTTGCCTAGTTATTATAAAAACACCATTCCACAAGACGAAAAAGGGGCTTAACTTGTCATAAACGGAGCTGGCAATTAGTAATGGCCCCATCAAAAACCAAGAACATCAGTACTATAGAAGAATGGCGTTATGCATTTTTAATATTTGCAAGCATATATCTTAGCGCTTACTCCACAGAACCTCGGGCAATTCTTAAGTATGGGTAAATATAATAGTACAGCAAACAATTTCGTTTAAGGTTCGGGTCAATTCGACCATGTCATTCGGGGTTATATATGAAGAGCCTTCGATATTGTGTATCAGTCCGAGTGCAATAGCTATATCAGCAGTGGACAAAAATGCTATGATTCTAATTACCGCCTTTGCACAAGATTGGTTTGCACTTACCGCCACGTCTGTTGAAATTGTAGCGGAAACCATACAGTTAGATCATGCAGGAGGCAAACATACCCCAACATGGGGGTATAGCGACCAATGCAACCAAGAGTCGCTTTCATGCAGGTGCAACGCTGGCCAATCAAAAAACCATTAAGGCCCATCACCTCTAATATGCCAATATTCTAAATGCAATTGTTATGCTAAAACTTCAAAATATTTACATCTAGGTTCCTCACCAGTAAAAATCCAAATACTAGAAAAATACTTGCAGCAAAATGAGAATTGTAAAGTTGGCAATGTTTTAGCTAATGTGTTTAAGCATGGTTTCAAAATTGAATACAATGGAGCGAGAGTTGCATTTGAATGTCAAAATCTTCAATCTGCATATAAACATAAAAAACAACTACAGGAAAGAAATATCGAGAATTAGCACTTGGTAGGATTGCTTGGCCATTTGAAAATCCCCATATGATAATCTAAGGATCTCTTAAGTAGGAATTTTGCCGAAGTCTGATAAGGGTTGGAGAATGATCACTCATTTATCATACCCTCATGGATCAAGTATTAATGATGGCATTGACAACCATTATTATTCGTTAAAATACACATCGTTTTTTAATGTAACTGCAATTATTTATGAATTGGGTCATTCAACGTTAATTGCAAAACACGACCTTAAATCAACATATAGGGTTCTGCCAATAAGAGTGAAAGATTTTCCCTTATTAGGTATAAAGGTAGAAGGAAAATATTACATTGATAATTTTTTACCGACTGGGTCAAGCCAAAGTGCAAACTTGTACGATTTTTTTCCTTTCTTTAACTGCCTTGTTATCAAGAAGGCACAAGCAAGCTCAATAGATCACCTCCTGGATTACTTTATCATGGTTTGCAGTCAAGGTACACATACATGCCAGCATTAAGTCAAAACATTTGAACAGGTTTGTTCCGAACTAGGCATTCCTATAGCTCTTGAAGTCAAGTCTGTAAATCCAACTACAGTAATGGTGTTTTTAGGTTTAGAAAATGATACATCCACATTAATGGTCCGAATGCCAGGTAATAAAATTCAAGAATTGTCCCAATTAATATCAACTATAGTTAATAGGAAGAAAATATCTTTACTGGATATACAAAGATTATTGTGAAAATTATTTTTTTCAGACAAGCAGTTAGGTCCAGTCGAGCATTTCTTCGACGGTTTTATAATGCAATGATTCCTTTAAGAAAACCTTACTATATGCTACGAATTTCACGAGAAATAAGGGAGGATCTGACGGTTTGGCAGGAGTTTAATTGGGTAACCTACATACCAGAAAACAAACGGTTTAGTAGTGATGAACTGCAGATTCTGAAGGGTCAAATCTGTTAGGGCCAGGTTGCTTTATTTGGAGGGAGAATGGTATTTCTTTGCATGGCCAAGGTTATGGAAAGGTCATTCAGATATGAAAGATATTACATTTCTGAAAATGGTACCAGTAGTATTACCAATCTTTGGGAAAAAAGTTAAGAAATAAAAAAAGTTATCATGTATATTGACAATGAGGCTTTGGTAAGGGTTTTAAATTGTCAAACCTCCAGGCCAAAAATGTTAATTCAACTCATCAGATATTTTGCCGTCGCACTTTTGGGAACATTTGTATAAACCATTAACATTTCAAATGGTCTTTTTTCTTGAGTAGACATGAATTTAACCAATTCAGTGGTAATAGTGATACAAAACTGGCAATTTAAATAAGAAGTTATCTAGAACATGGTAACATTTAAACTTCTGTTACAGTATAAAATGGATAAAGATATACAGGTTTTTTTAATGTACGAATTTGAAAAATACTTTGTCGTGTTTGCCAGATGGAATTTTAATGAAATACAAATATATTTATTGTTTTTCGTATAGTAACTTTCGACATAAGAATTTTGAATTCATTTAAACTGTGACCTGTTAAGTGAAAATATGAATAGGATTGAGCCATTCATGTATAATAAAAGTAATATTTAAAACAATTTATTTGCGACTTTTTTATCCAAACATATATTCCACTTGTGTCCTCAAAGACATTCGAGAAGAAAAGTAGGTACTGATTGCAAAGAACACTAGGTCTTGTTACTTTGAACAAAATTGAACAATTGCTATTCATTTCACTTGTGGCTTTCCTTCCGCTTATCCAAAAAGGAGACCATCGGATTTGATATCAAGGGTTTCCTGGTGCGACCCAAAGGCGAGGTTTCATTTCGCCGTTACAATTGATTTTGCGTCCTTTGATCATTTGATGGCTATCGCTTATTATGAAATCATATGTCTGTGATGACTAGTCGCAGACTTGCGGAAAATTGGTATTCACAGTTATCCAGGAAAGACAATTAAACTGACCTCCGAGGTATGACCAGAACATATCTTAAAATGGGCATAAAAATAGAGAAACAAAGAAAACTTCTTTCCTACCTAAATATTTCTTTCAGAGAAAGCGAAATCAAATTTTTCAAAAGTGAACAACATCATCATGTCAACTGCAGCTAAGGACAATGATGATATATTAGATGTGGAAGCTCAAAAGCATGAAAAAATGAACATCGGAGAAGGTATTTGGCGATTTCTAGAACTTTAAACTATCTGCAGTTGAGGAAAACGTTGGCTAAAATAACGTTTTATATTGTAGCTTAAAGTAATTGAGGTTTGATATATAGAAAAATGTTTTGGAAAGCACATATAATTCTTCTTTTGATAAACTATAATAACAAGGTGTATGCCATGAAGACCTAGGTAAAAGTTGCATAATATATGTATATGTAGGTACAATAGAGCCCAGCCCTCGGAGTCATCGTCAATAATAAGTATTATTAAGTATCAGGAATTGGTTCAAACCCTGTTCAAAACTCTGTTTACATAGTTTTGTTGACTTAAGTATGTTTGCATTAGGGTGTACGATGACGGATTCAAAATAACATCTGCAGTGTTCATGTAATTTTGTTTTGGTTAATTATTTCAAGGGATCATGTTTCAACTGTAAACGTTTTATAGTGCAACTCACCATATACAAAATGACACTTCCATTGGAATCTTTGGCATGAACTTACACAATATTAGATTAAAAACGATTTGACGTAAGACTATATACTTAAGAAAACAGGTGGTCTTTAGTCTACCAAGCTTACGTCAATGCTGATTTCTTATCATAAGTGACGTCGTGACGCCGTTTTTATAATAAACATCATATGTACAAGACAACTTCTTGTTCATATATTTAATCAAAACTAAATTCCCTTCGATGTTCTCGATGCTAATAAATATATTGTTTGAAATTGATTTTAAGACATTGCTTGTCATATAATGAAATATCATTGTAGTTCCCGCTCGAGGTTTGAATAAACCGGATCAATGCTAGGAGAGTATTGGGTGTACTTAATTCATATATAGGAAGTATGTGTTTCACTTCACATTGTAGTCTCATTTCTAGTCAACTTTTTCATAAATACAAGCAGTATTGACCTGAAAAATAAGTTCGACTATCAACGTTAAATGGTGATGATATTATTAATGTTTTTTTTCCAAAAACATGCATGATCATTTGTAATTAAAGTAAAAGAAAAAGTCAAACCATCCGACCTTATTTACGTTACTTGCGGAGAATTTATATTAGACCAGGCTTTGAGAAATTAAAGCGGCCGCCGTTTTTAAAAGTTGTGTGTTTCATGGGAAGAAAACAATTATATTTGATTCAGAGGGATATCATTTGGATGTGTCAGTCATACATCTATTTATAAGAAAAGAAACTTACTTGAGGATTGTCACAGACAATTAATAATTGATGACAGATTTGTAAACATTCAAAAAGCGGCTATGAATTTAGGAAAACATGGAATTGTTGAAAGGCTGTCTTAAAAACCCTGTGTCGTTTACTTATTCTTCAGACTTGCATTAGCATTAGACAGTTATTGCTCGTAGGATACTTAAATATTCCAAAATGTCATCAAGAGCAGTTTTTTATGTGGAAATAAGTGTATTTTTTCAGACTGTAAATTGAAACAATAAATTTAGAGAAGATATTTGGTGATTGGTAATTTGATTTGATAAGAAATTTAAGTTATTTATCAATCTAAGCTTAACTTTTCACTAAACAGCCCTGACAAGGTCAGAATTGTCAGCAAAAATAAATTTTAGGCACCACATGGGAAAAATCTTTAAAATGTAGTTACGTCATCGAAAAGTGTTAAATTATATTTTGATAATTTTCACTATGAAATTATCAAATATAATTGATAAATCAGTAATCCACTCAAAAGCATTAAATAAATATCGGCATTCAGTGTATAATGCAATTCAGCAAGTTTTCTGATCGGTGAAGCACATCAGAAATTAACATCACTTTTGTCGCGCAATAATTTGTCTTTCTCTCACGACATAAATGCTCATATATGTAGACTGAGAGTTGGAAAGCTGTATTTTTTTTCAAAAAGGTTTTCTATTCAATCGATATGTATCCCTTTTGGTTATACTATCATCTTAACGTTTCCTGAATTTTGTTATTAGATCACTAAATAATGCTTACCGTAACTGTATATCGAACTTTTAAATGGCTTCACGAGTGTTTTTTGTATGAATTAAGATATACGCAACTAAACACGGGTCGCAAGATCTTTGAACGAATCATACGTGCAACTATGATGATGGAATT